TATCAATTTATTTTATTTTATTTTTTTCAAAATTTGGGTTACCATGGACTGGCCATTAGGTCACTAAACTGGCTATAAATCAACTTGAAAAACACTGAATCAGCCCTAAACCGACCTAAAAACACTGAACCGACTTTATAATTCACTAAACCGGCTGTTTATATACTAAACTAACTTGGTTTATGCACAAAACCGGCCTAAAACAACTGTATTATCCTAAATCGACATTAAAATGGTTGTTTAATTGTTAACCTAATTTTTTATCCTTGAATAGGAAGTGAACCAGTTGTATTCCCTTTGAACAGGTTGGTTTCCATTTATTACTTTATTTATTATTTTATTAATTCATTGATTCGGATCTAGGACGTGATTTTTTTTGGCACCCAAGCCCAAATTGATAACCCAATCCAAGCCCATCTCGAAGTCCATATCCGTTTTTTTTGTTATGGCCCAACCCACTTTTGGGCCTGGCACGAACCAGAAACCCAAAATCCCAGCCCCGAGCCCAGCTCCTTAAGCTAGTTTTTATGTAGACTTGGACATCTTCCCGGGTCTGTTTGTCCTAACATGAATAAACTGAACAGCTACACTGCGTACCTCGTTTTGCTAGAAATTGATCAATGATTCAAGTAAAAATTGGGAAGACGACAGTTGAAATGGTAAAGATGGCTTACTGTGACGATGGCGCAAGGGTAGATTCAATCAGTAACTAGCCACGTGAGCCTAATTTCCCAACTTTCACTCTGTCTACCATGGCAAACAAAATTAGGAAAAATAACGTGCACAAAAAGCAATTATGGAGAAATTGGTTTGAGATTCTTATTTCATGAGGGTCAATTTTCACTTATATACGATTAATTGAAGAATAATTCATCAAATCTCTCGTAGATTTGATAAGATTGAAGTTAGGATCCAAAAAGGAGATTTGGAAATGACGCCCAAATCAGATTTTTTTTTTACTTTAAATTTCAATCCTCAATTTTCTTGATTTTATTCAATTTCATCCTTGTAAGTTCTGATGATTTCTATTCAAACCCACAAAGTTTAATTGTTCAATTAAATCCCTTATTATTTTAATTCGGCCCCTATACTTCCTGTTTCATTCAATTGAGTCCTCTAACCTTCCTTTTCTTGCAATTGAGCCCCTATTAGTTTCTAATTCTCAATTAGCCCCAGGATTTTGGAGTGTTACAAATAAACTGTCAGAAATTGAAAACTTTTCTGTTGAAAAAATTTAACCATTGGATTAGAAATGTAGTCATTGGATGTTCTCAGTTTATCGAAAATTTTTTGATTTATTTTCTTTTTTACTTTTTTTGGTCGGATTTTTTTGCTGAATTTTTTTTAATTAAAAATCCTATTCCCCCACTGCCAATCTTTGGGCCTTCTATCTTTAGTTCTCTTCCTCCTTCGCTAGAATCTTTTGTCAATATTTGCGTCTCCCCTTTACTTTTGTTTTCTTCTGTTTCTTGAATCAGTTGGAGCACCAGTGTGAACATTATATAGAAACAAAAGTTTATACAGATAATTTGTTCCGGCTGTGTGAACATTCTTTTCTTATCGATTTGGCAACATATCAATCTAAACCTACAAAAGAAATAAAGTAAAAATAGTACTTTCAATTAAAAGAGAGGGATAAAAAAAAGGATAGTACAAGAATTGCTATCCTCTGAAAAGTTTTACCTCCTGCTTGGAAGTAGATAAAATATAAGCAGAGTTGTTCTCGTATTCACGAAACTGGTTGGTCATGCTGACTTCAAGTCAGGTGGTTTGTAAAGCAATCTGGAGAGAGAAGTTGAAAGGCAGAAAACGCTGGGAAGAAGTGGTGTTCCAAGTGCGTTGGCAGCAAAGCAATATAGAGAGAAGATGAAAGGGCAAAAAGCCACATAGGTTTCGTTTGGGGCAGAGAGGTAGGAAAAAAAAAAGGACAGAAATATAAAAGGGACGGCTGAGAATTTGAAAGTAGGGAAAATGCGTTTCCGACAGACAAAGTTCCGATTCCTAATCCTGCATTTCAAAAAATTACCTTCAATTTTTTACCGACAGAGAATATTTTGTCGGAAATGTTACTCAAAAAAAATTATCCTTTTTGATTCTAACGAACTTTATTTTCTATAAAAAAAAAGATTTTTTTTGGTTGAAAAAGGGACGGCTAAGAATCTATCGTAAAATTTGTTTTTTAAAATAGTATTATCTTTATTTGGTTTCCGATGGACGCTACTATTGAAAATTTTATTTTCTTATAAAATATTATTTTTATAGTTTCCAATGAACACTGTGAGTTAAAATTCTACTTTATTTTTAAAAGATATTTTTTTTCTATTTTTCGATGGACAGAGTCCATCAAAAAATTTTGACGTGTTATTACTGTAATTTTTCCAACAAATTTACCAATAAAAATACAAAAAGGCGGAAATGTCATAATTAGACAGAATTACATCCATCGAAAATTCTCCTTTTTTAGCTGTGATTTTTACTTGATAATATTAAAATAATTTTCTTAATTTTGTATAGTTAATTTTAATAGTTAGCAATACACACACGCACGCACGAGACATCGATTTTGGTATCTTCATATGATTCTTATAAATTGTTAAATATTAATATTTCTATCTTTTTATTGTTGTAGTTTTCACAAAATGTGCATGGAGCCACAAGAATAAAACTCTTATATTTATATGTTATATTTTTTATTTGCAAACAAGTAGCAGTTTGAATAAATAATCAAATATTCTTTATACCTAAATATTCTAAAATATAGTTAATTGAATGTTAGAAATGTTTTTACAGATAAAAACTAACAACTCTTCTTTTAATTTTGGTAATTTTAAGAATGAGTTTCACATATAAAGAAAATTTAGAGATATCTCAATGAAATTTATAGGAAAGAAAAGAAAAAAAAAAAAAGAAGGAAAGATCGACATATATGTAATAATAAATATACAAATGTACTACTTTTCATTTTTGAATATCATATTAATTAGTATATCTAAAATTGTGGATAATTGCCTTGTTTATAATGCGCGCGCGCGCGTACAATATATATATATATATAATATATCATATTCAAAAAATGATATTTGAAACATGTCAAAGAAAAGAAACAAATGTTTTATTTTAAAATTTATTTTTCATTCTTTCATACTATAAATTTATTTCTTAATAAATTCCTAATTGACAATTGAAAATAAATTTAGCTATTGTTGCAAATTTTAATAAAAAAAATATTTTCTTCAATATCAATTAAGTCAGTTAAATTTATAAATTAAAACTAGATAAAAATAATACTTTATTTTTATTTGATAAAATATGTTCGTGTAAAGCAAGTGATACAATACTAATAATGCTATAAGAATTTGATTAATACACGTTCTCCTCCCATTTCATTAATAAAGGAAATACTGCTGCCCGTCCGGTATATTACCACCTATTCCCCCTTAACAGTACTCATCCTTTTTTTTAATTTATTAATTTCATTTTTTCATATTAATTTTTTTATGAATCATTTTTTAATTTTTTTCTTTATTCAAAATAATATTTTGTTAATACAATTATTCTTAAAATAAAATTTTTTATTGAGAAAATAAATTTATATAAATTAAATGAAGTATACTAACAAAATATATAAACAAATTTTTAAGAAAATCTATTCATGGATATATCAAACTATTATTTTGAATGATGAAAAAAATGATTCAAAAAAAAATAACACAACAACATAAAAATCAATAGATTTAAAAGAACTTTGAATTTAAAAAAAAAATTGTTAAGGGCGGGCGGGAGGCAATTTACCAGACTGGACAGCTCACCTTTCGCAGCAGCCAAGTTTTTTCCATTAATAAATTAATTTTAGCCTTTATTTCATTTCATTCGCCCCTTAGTTCTTTTTGTATTATATCTTTAATAATTTTATTTAATAGAAATGATATAAGGGATAAAATATTTTTATATTTATAAAATAAATTAAATTTGTAAAAGCGCACAATGCCACGGTATTTCGAGGTGAATCAGTTTCAAATAGGAAAAGGGATGATAATGCCTTTAAAGACTTAAAAACAAAAATATGGCAAAAATCATTTTAACTATTGAATTTCTTTCTTTGTCTTATATATTTCCTGAATTTTATAACATATCATTTATTCCCCATAAACTAACATTGTTAATCTGCTATTAGATTTACTTTATAAACTATTCAATTTTAAATATTACTATTAAAATAATTAATTATTAAAATATTAAATTTTAAAGTAATATATTAAATCAATAATAAATATTCTTAAATATATTTAATTTTAAAATTTACAAACTTAATTTAAATTATTTATGTAACTTAACTAAATAAAAATTATCAATTATGAATAAATAATGTGAATTTAGTAAAAAATTAATCAAGATGTAATTGAAACCTAATTAAAAATTATTTATTAATAATTTCTATTAAATTCAAAGTGTTTATTCATAAATGGTAATTTTTTTATTTGATTAAACTATGTAAATAATTTAAATTAATTTCATAAAATTTAGCTATATTTAATGCCTAAAATTAAATACTTTTAATAATTTTTTATATCAACTTAAATTTTTAAATTTAATAATTAATTATTTTAATAGTAATATTTAAAATAGTTAACATTTAAGATTAAAGAGATTAAGGGATAAATATAACCACAAGTTAATAGTGTTAATATTCAAGATGATAAATGATACATTGTAATTTCTAGGAGATAATTAAGATAGAGAAAAAATCTAAAAGGATAGAGAATAAAATTTAAAACGGTAAAATAATTTTTGTCAAAAAATATCTTTAACAAATTCCCCCAACAAAAAATACAAAGACAAAATTTAAAAGCCATCCAAGGAGATTAAAAGGACGGTCTTCTTTTATTTGTTTAGATACAGGGCACCGCCATAAGAATCAACTACGTGTTGCACCGTGCCCTAAAAAAGAACCTTTATTCCACACCCCACATTACTAAACAAGTCATAAGCAGCTTAATCAGAAATCTTCCCTCCTCCATGGCTTCATCGCTTGCAATATCTTTCAACAGTTCTAAATGGAACCCACAGAGTCTCTCTTCAGTATTCTTCCCCACAATTCATCCAAACAAAACCCTAAGCTTCCCTCTTCATCCATTCAAACCCAATTCTTTAAACATATACTGTTCACCATCCTTGCCCACATCTAGCTATTTAATCCCAGACCTGGACAAAACTCAAGAAAAAGAAGAAGATGAAAGTGATGAGAGGCCTCTTCACCAAACGTGGAGACAAATCCAAGGCTGCCACGACTGGCAAGGCCTCCTGGACCCGACAATCCACCCCAACCTCCGTCGAGAAATTATCCGCTACGGCGAGTTTGCGCAGTCCTGCTATGACTCCTTCGACTTCGACCCCCACTCCAAGTACTGCGGCACTTGCAAGTACCCTCCCTCCATCTTCTTCCGAAAGCTGAACATGGACCGCAGAGGATACTTCCTCACACGCTACCTCTATGCCACCTCCCACATCAACCTCCCCAACTTCTTCAGAAAATCCAAGCTCACCTCCGTTTGGAGCAACCACGCCAACTGGATGGGCTACGTGGCGGTGGCTACTGATCCTGATGAGATCCGAAGGCTGGGACGCCGCGACATCGTGGTAGCATGGCGGGGCACTGTTTCATACCTCGAGTGGATCCAGGACCTCAAGGATTTTCTCCGTCCTGCTCATTTCGCCCAGATGCTCTGATTAAAGTAGAGTCAGGGTTCTATGATATCTACACCCAGAAGGAGAGATCGTGCGACTACTGCACCTTCTCGGCTCGTGAGCAGGTTCTTGCCGAGATCAAGCGCCTCATCGAAACTTACAGAGGTGAGCAGCTCAGCATCACCATAACAGGCCACAGCCTCGGTGCAGCTCTCGCATTGTTAAATGCTTACGACATTGCTGAGATGAAATTGAACTTGTTAGATAACGGTAATTCAAAACACAATCATTTAGTCCTTCATATAGTTTAATTATTAAATTCTCAAACGTGTTTTCACTAAATTTTTAGTATTTCATTTTCGTTTTCATTTTACGGAAAAGGAGCAAAAATTCCGATCACTGTTTTCTCATTTTCTGGGCCCCGAGTGGGTAATCTCAAGTTCAAGGAGCGTTGTGATAAGCTAGGAGTGAAGGTGCTGAGGGTAATCAATGTGCACGACAAAGTGCCCACGGTGCCGGGTATTTTGGCAAATGAGAAGTTCTGGTGCCAGAAGTATCTGGAGGAAGCAATGTCTTTTCCTTGGAGTTACGCACATGTTGGCGTTGAGCTGGCTCTGGATCACACCCATTCGCCATTTCTCAAGGACACCAAAGACATCATATGTTCCCACAATCTGGAGGCTCATTTGCACCTCCTCGACGGCTACAACGGCCGTGGCTCGACTTTTGAGTCGGTGACACAGAGGGATATAGCACTGGTTAACAAGAGCAGTAACTTCTTGAGGGAGGAGTTTGGGTGCCTGCCTACTGGTGGCAGGAGGAGAACAAGGGGATGGTTTTTTAGAGAGAGGGATGGGCGGTGGGTTGTGCCGGAGAGGGCTGTCGTGGAGGCCCCACCGCCGGACACCGCCCACCACTTTCAAGAGGTGATGCTTCAGCTTGCACAGTCCTCTCTAAAAGCACTTTAGTCATTAAAGGACACAATGAAAGTGGGTATCAAGGTTCGTTAATCATCTTTGGCATCGTGTTCCCTGTCTAGTTATCCATTTATTACAGGACATTTAGGAAGGCCATGTTTGTTCGCCAGATATGTGTTTGGTTCATGATTGAATTAATTATACACTTCATTTAGCTTTCCCTGTTTAAAGCAGCCTTTACTGTCCCCACGTGATATTCATCAATGTATGTTAATTTTGTAGAAATTGCGAATATAAAGGTCAAATTACAGCTAAAAAACAAATAATTAGTGGCAACAGATTAATGATTTTTGGAATGAGTCACTAATTATTGACTATTCAATCATCTATTAATAATTGAGAATTACTCTCATTTGTTTTAAAAAATATAATAATAAATTTGTGACTGATTTTGTAATTCTATTAGTGCAATCACAAATCGGTTACAAAATTAGTAATTACTAGTATTTTAATTACTAAAGAGTTACTAATTAGTGATTTTATCTTAGATGATTACAAAATGAGTGACTAATTAGTGCATTTATCTTAATCAGTCATAAGAGAGTCATTAATTTAGACATGGGTTATAAATTCAGTCACTAATTAGTGACTTTTGTTTTGGCAGTCACAAAAGAGTTATTAATTAGTAATTATTCTTTTGGCAATTACTACTAAGGTCATTATGTCAGTCAATAGTCCTTTACTACAGTCACAATTAATAACCCTAACTCAAGCGGTTACAAATAAAAAAGTTATTAATTAGTGGCCCATTTTTATCGATTACAAAATCAGTTAATACTATTTTTTTGAAATTAAATATTTTAGTCAAATATAGGTAAAAATTATATAAAAATGAATTATAAGATTTAAACCATGATCTTATTTTTGAAGGGGCAAATAATTTGTAGACTTAAATGTTTATAATCAAACATTTCATGTATGAAAATTATATTTTTAAATTAAACCAAACATCCTTGTAAAAGTGAATTTCTAATTATATGAATTAGTTATGATAAAATTTTATAATATAACCAAAATTATTACATATTTTATATATATACACATATATATGTCTATATACAAGCAAAAGAGGTCAATGAAATAAATAAATACAATAAAAAATAAAAAAGATCATATTCATTGTTGAGAAAGTATTTTTCTCTTAGGGGTCACTAGTCCTTAACCTTTAATTGCTACTAAAGTTACTGTAATTCAAGTATGCTCCTTTAATGTTTTCTATGTTTAAAATGTATTTTGTCATATAAATTTATATTATTAACCTGGATATATTAAACTTCCTTTTACAAATTGAAATGATAAAATACTTGTAAAATTTTTTTAGAATTAGTGCAAGCAAGTGGGACTTACTATATCCATGTGAATTATATTTCCTATTTCTATGAATAGGAAGGAATTGTTCCATTATTATCAAATAATGGAAAAAAGGTAAAATTCTAGAGCCGATTAGCCTGATAGGATTAATTACTCAAAGAGATAAGATAGAAAATATTAACTTAGAGGGTTTTGAACAGAATTTATCCACTTAAGGTAATTTAGATCTTCAAAATATCTCTGGATACTATATAAGAGGCTTGATTATTGTACCATCTTTTGCAACACGCTTATCTAATTTTCTCTACTCTCTCTCTCTCACACACACACACACACACACACAGAATTATGTATATATATCTCTGTTTTTAAACCAAATTTAAACATAAAGGTTACAAGGATCAATACATTGAGTTACATGCACCATGCCATTAGGTTATAGGCATTGTGCCGTTCAATTACTAACATAGTTTTATTCAGTTACAAGCAGATTCTTATTCAGTTATAAAGCATATATCTCTATTTAGTGAACCAAGTCTAAACCTAAGTCTCATAGACATCGATTAGTTCAGTTACAAACACAGTTGTGCTTAGTTACAAGTAAAGTCCCATTTAGTTATAAACAGATATCCGTTTAATTACAAACGTATATCTCTATTTAGTGAACCAAGACCAAGCCTAAGTCTCACAGGTATCGATTGACTCAGTTACAAGTATGGTTCCGTCCAGTTATAAGCAAAGCCTCATTCATTAAAAGTACATCTATATTCAGTTATAAGCACATATCTTCGTTTAATGATTCAAGTCTTAGTCTAAGTCTCATAGACATTAATTGGTTTAATTACAAGCATAGTTCCATCTGATTACAAGCAAAACCCTATTTGGTTACAAGCGTATCTTTGTTCAGTTACAAGAATATATCTCTATTTATTGAACTAAGTTTAAGACAAAGTCTTGCAGACATCGATTAGCTCAATTACAGGTACTGTTTCATTTGGTTACAAAAAGAGTCCTGTTTATTTATAAGTACATCTTCATTCAGTTACAACTATATATCTTCGTTTATTAAACTAAGTTGAAACCCAAGTCTTGCAGACATCGATTGGTTTAGTTATAAGCACGGTTTCATCCAGTTATAAGCAAAGTCTCGTTTAATTACAAGTAGATCTTTGTTCAATTACAAGAATGTATCTTCATTTAGTTAGAAGTAAATTTCCAATCATATGAACTAGTTATGATAAGATTTTATAAAAAAAAAATTAAGATCATTGGATATGTCATACATATATACATATATATATGTATATATATGTTTATATATAAGCAAAAGAGAATCTATTATCAATTAAATAAAACAAAATAAGATCATTTGCATTATCAATGAAACATTGTCTTCTTAGGAGCCACCCACCCTTCAACCTTAACAATTGCCAAAATTATTGTAATAGTCCTTCTAATAATGAAGGTGATAAAGGTATATTTTTCATGCAACCCATAAACTTTATCATCCACATTATTGATATTCAAATCAGAGGCATAGAAAACAAAAAGTCAGGAGAACATAATTAATTTGTACCAAAATATATTGTTATATGTGCAATGGAATAGAGTTTGATGTTATATAATAAAATTTAAGTTCCTATAATAACCAGGTCTAGATTCAGGATATAATCTCATTCACAATTATGAAATAATTCAAATTAAACATTTAAATATTACATTTCTTCAAATTTTCAATAAATTAATAACGTTTTTTAGTTCATTGAGCAGTTCGATTTTTCAAATGTCGCCCAAATGTATTATATAATCTTATTCTGTAAAAAATTACTCTCCTAGGCACTAGATAATTAACTTGAAAGAGTTCAAAAGTAAAATAATTATCTTTACATATATGGATATTGAGTAAGCACGAGCAAGCAATTAAATGAATGAGAATGGTCATATAAGATCAAGAGCCAAAAAGGTTTTAGGTTATATCTATATGTATACAGACAATTTTTTTTTATAATTAAAGTGATATAAATTAAAAATTCACATAATTAAAATTCAATTTTTAACCATAATTTCATTCTATTTAAAATAACATAATAATTGAATACTAAATTTAAAAAATATAAATAATTAAATTTTTATAATTTTCAATAGGAAATTATTTATATTTTTATATAATTATTTGTACTAAATCAATATTTATATCAATATTTGTATAATTTTCATAATTATTTATAAGTTTTGATGGGAAATTATTTATATATATTTATTTAGAATCTATCAATATTTATATAAATTAGTTGTTTAAATATATATTTGTAAAATTATTTCCTATTTTCACCAACTTATTATCAATCATCATATTTCCTGATCCTTTCCCTCCATCCAATTTTTACCAAATTAGTTTCACTTCATCTTTCTCTGCAAAATCCTTCCAGTTTTATACCTAAATGGCATATCTGTTTTGATTTATTATAAATATTCCATATGTTTACAAGTTTTAAACTTGATTAACTTATTTATTTTGATTTATTGTAAATATTTTCATATGAAACATGTACAAGAACTTATTTTTTAAATTAAATTGATGTAAATTAAAAATTTATGCAATTACAATTCAATTGTTAAAACTTAATTTTATTCTTTTTTAATAACATTACAATTAGATACTAATGTAAAAAGTATTAATATTAACAGATTCTAACTAATTGTAAAAGTTAATCAAGGTAATCTCCATTGACATTCTCGAAAATCCTTCCCCCACAAAATTTCCCTCCAAAATCTCCCAAACTTTCCATTCGTTCCTGAAATCTCACTACCAAAAAAAAAACTTTTAGTGCCCATAGCAATGGGTCATAAATTAGTGACTGATTAGTGACCTAGTAGTGACCAACTAAGGTTAGGTTATTTGAAAAAAAAAAAAAAATAACCGATTTGTGACCACAAACACTACGGTCAGATATCGGTCACAAAATTAGCGATTACTACGGTTTTAGTTACAAAAGAGTTAGTAATTAATGACCGATTATGAGGCAGTTACAAAATGGGTCACTAATTAATGACCCTCTCTTCATGGGTCACAAAGAAGGTCACAAATTTGGGGGTGGGCCTTTACAATCAGTCATTGATTAGTGATTCCAATTAAGGCGGTTACAAATGGGTCGCTAATTACTGACTTCGAAATTGACGGTTATAAAAAAGGGTCACTAATTAGTGACCTGCTTTAGGCGGTTACTATTAAGTTCACTACTCCGAGGAAATGATTCTTTTACTACGGTCATTAATTTGCGACTCCCTTTTCTCGGTTACAAATCGGTTAGTAATAAATTTTTTTTTGTAATTAAATATTTAGCTCACCAAGTGGGAAAAATTTAGTTACAAGCATATCTCTATTCAGTTACAAGCATACCTCCATTTATTGAATTAAGTAGTTGACTAGTTCAGTTATAAATAAAGTTTCATTGAGTTACAAACACAGACTCATTAGATTACAAGCAAATCTTTGTTTCGTTACAAGCAAGAATATATAGAGTTACAAGCAGAGGCCTTTATAGTTACAAGCATATATACTCGCTCAATTATAAGCAGAAACCTGTATGTTACAAGCAAAGACTCGTTTAGTTACAGGCAAAGACCTATATAGTTGCAAGCAGAGTTTTTTATAGTTACAAGCATATACTTGTTCA